ATGAGCTGGGGAAACTAATCCATGTAATTCACTAATTTGGGAGTCATAAGGAGCTATAAACTAATCGAGAGTCATAAAGGAAGAAGCAATATCAAGATACCCTTATATGAATTTTTAAGAAATATTTATAGTACTTATATATAATAGATAATATTGATATATGTTATGAATATTAATAGAATTACTTTACAGATAACTGATTGACTGATGTGAATGAATTAACTCAGCATTAACACTAATGATTAACAGACTGAGATATGATTTATAATAGACTGATAAATAGATATAGGTGATCAATACATATAACCTATATTGATTGATAGACTTTCTTATATGATTTACAACATACTATTTCTTTTTTCCCTTGCATTGTTTTTAGTGGTCAGTTTTGGTTACTTGCTAGGTTATGCGCTCAATATGTGATTTTATTTGATTTCAAGTAAAGGTAAGGAGCCTAGATATGATTTATAATAGACTGATAAATTGATATAGGTGATCGATACATATAACCTATATTGATTGATAGACTTTCTTATATGATTTACAACATACTATTTCTTTTTTCCCTTGCATTGTTTTTAGTGGTCAGTTTTGGTTACTTGCTAAGTTATGCGCTCAATATGTGATTTTATATGATTTCAGGTAAAGGTAAGGAGCCTACAGTGCAAGGCTATCTAGTGATGCTAGTTTAGTTTTTTTTTTTGTTCTCGAGTTTTATTTATTATTTTGTAGCCGATAATGGCTATATATAATTTTGGACTTTGAACTTTGTAGTAGAATATAAATATTATCTACTATAGTAATAAAATTTTATGTTCCACTGTTTATATATATTTATATTTTTCCTAAATGAAATTAGTTAGCCCTGGTTATAAATTATCTGGTTAGTTATTATATAATTATAAATGAATATTGGGTATTAATTGAACATAAGAAAAGAAATGAAATTCTTCCATTTTAGATCTCGAGTTTGACAAGAGTGATATCATAGCAATTGTTAGTAAAAGAATTTTCTTATAAACAGAGCTGCATTATTAATTACATTATTTATTGATTAAAATATGTTTATTTTGAAAATTTATTATATATATATATATATATTTATTGATTAAGAAAACAAATCCAAAAGAAAAAAGAAAGAAGTTTGAACCTGATACTGAAGTCTTTTTAGTAACATTTATGAATTTGGTAAAGTTTGCTGACATGATCACTTAGATTGTGAGTGATAAATTGATAAATAGACAGGATAAAACTTTAAGAAAATATATGAAAGTAGTAAGAAAAAGACATTCAAGATCAAAGAATCTATCACTCTAGAATATATTTGGTGTGGGAAGAGACATGTGGGAAGAGACACGTGGAACCCTGATATAAGATGGATGGGCAATACTTTAGATGTGGTGATTATGGTCACCGAAAGGCAGAATGCCCATTTCCTAGACCTAAGCAAGGTTTTTTCAGATTGGAACCAGACTGTGATAACTAATGAAAGAGGTTCCTAAGGTGTCTGATGATCCGAATAGTATGATTTTATTTTATTTTTATAAGTTGAGTTTCAAATTATTCCAAAATTAAATTTGTTGTGATTTTTACCCAACATAGAATTATAATTTTTGAACCCATTTAATTTGGTGTATTATGATTTAGTTTATTTTAAGTATACTCTCTCTCTCTCTCATGCTAATATGAAAATGTTAAGGAAAACATTTTTCTAAGGTGGGTGGATTATAAAACCTAAGAAAGTTTAAAAACTATTTTTAAAATGAAAAAAAATAAAAATTTGAATTTCTATTTGAATAGGAGGGCTGTAGAACTGAGCATGTGTATGTTGTGGATCTGTTCTTGTGAACGCAATGGCGTTATGCTTGTGAGCATTGTGATGCCATGCTTGAGAGCACAATAATGCCATAAATTGCCGCCATGATATTGAAGACTTTGTTCTATAGTAATTTTGGATTCAACATGCTGCGCTACAATACCCGGTAGAAGCGCAATTGCACTACGCACTAAAAGTTATTTTTAATACTTTTTTCTTAAATATCCCTAACTGCTAACCATTCCCTCCCTCACTTATGTTGCTTGGCCAAAAAAAAAAAAAAAAAAAAAAAAAAAAAAAAAAGAGGGAGAAGAGAAAGGAGAAGAAGAGCAAAGAGAGAAGAGAAAAAAAATGCTTAGGGTTACTTTCATCTATCATTCTTATTGCACATTTTATTCTATTTGAAGTAACTAAAGTCTTGCTCTTATTTTTGATGAATTAGATTTCTATAAATTTACTCTCCTAAATCTACTAAAAAATGCATTATCTATTGATTTTGTGACCTTTCATTGTGGATATATATATATATATATATATATAATAATAATAATAACCCTGCGTGATACCTTCATATCCATGTGATTCAATGAATGATAAGCATAAGGAGTTGGAGATTGATTATGAGTCATAATGAGCTGGCATGACTGATCCATGTGACTCATGGATTGGGAGTCATAAGGAGCTGGAGACTAATCGAGAGTCATAAGGGTAGGAGAAAGATTAAGATACCCTCACCGAAATATCTGATAAATGATAATAGTACATATATAAAATAGATAGTGCCAATATATGATAAGAATATTAGTATAATTACTTTATAGATAATTGATTGACTGATGTGATTGAATGAATAATAAGATTAACGAATTAAATAAAATTGATTGAATGATAAATACAAACTAATTGGTTGATTGACTAAATCAGATTAACTAATCATTATTATTGATTATTGACAAGTTGAGACGAGATATAAAATAGGTTGATAAATTGATACAAGTGATCAATACATATAACATATATTAATTCGTAGATTTTCTTATATGATTTATAGTGTGCTATTACTCTTTTTTCTTGCATTGATTTCAATGATAAGTTTTGGTTACTTGCTAGATTATATGTTCATTACATGATTTAAGGTAAAAGCTTGTAGTGTGAGGCTATACATTAATGCTAGTTTAGTTCTATTTCCAGTTCTCGAGTTTTATATGTTCTTTTTTAGTTGATAATGGGTATTGTATATATTATTTTGGACTTTAGATCTTGTAGTAGAATATAAATATTGACTGCTATAGTAATAAAATTTTTTGTTATGCTGTTTATATTTAGTTGTATTTTTTTAATGAAATTAGCTAACTCTAGTTGTCAATTATCTAGTTGGTGATGATCTCGTTGTAAATGAATATTGGGTGTTAACTAAACATAAGAAAAGAAATAAAAATTTTCCTCTTTAGATCTCAGGGCTTGACATTAACAAACCAGATAAAGTCTTTAATTATAAGAATTTAGTTCGTTCTTATCATCTTGACACGTTATGCATCTTGGATTAAAAAATTCACAACTATGTGGCTCATGATCCATGGTTTACCAACAAACACAAAGTCTTTGAAAATGAAGCAAGCATTGAAAATTTTGATTTTTCCTCTCTAGGAAGTATTTGGATTAAGTGGAATCTTTCCACCATCTATTTCACCTTGTCTTTTTCATCTCATCAGCTAATCCATAACACTCTCCAACACTGCTATACTTCTTCTTATCATCTCTCTTTTATTTACTCCTCCAATTCTTCTAATGAAAGGCACATTCTTTGCGAGCAACTCACATTTATTATTAACACCATTTCATCCCCTTAGGCTATCATTGGGAATTTCAATTTTTTTAATACATAGCAAAGAGAATATGGAGGCAATGTTATTCATAACAATAGATTATGGGACATCAACAACCTTATTTTTAGTTCTAGCTAACATTAACTTCCATCTATTAGCCACTACTACACTTGGTTCAATGAAAGGTTTGAAAATCTTATCCATATCAATTGGATAGAATTCTTATTAATGATGCTTGGCTTCAATATTACAAAGTCGATGATCCTATGCTCTTAACACTCACCATTGGTCCTATCTGAGAAAACTTGTAATATCATAAATCATCAATTTTTATTAGATCAATATGGATGGATTCTTGGATGATTTGGTTTCTATATATGGCCTTAATTTAAGATAAGCTGACATAAGATAAGCTGCCAAAAATATATTATTCTATTAATAATTCATCATCCACTAGTAATAAGCAACAGTAGACACGTTGATTTCCTCATGAATATCATGCTACCTCATAGAAAAATCACAATTTCTTATTAATCAAATAATCACTATACATATTAATCAATCTATCATCAACCAAACAAACAGGGTAAAAACTAATTTCAATTCAATCCATTGATGTTTCATTTCTATTTATTTTTCATTTCCTCTTTCAATTAATTTCAAATCAAGCAAAGCCTTGTGTTGAGTTTAACTAAAAGATGAATCAGCACTAAAAAAAAAAACAAATTTTTTTGTGGACTGTTAGCTTCGATATTTGAAGCATTTAAACAAGTAAATAATTATGCAGTAGTATTCGGAAAAAGATTAAATCTAACACACATTTTAACAGTTGATCATATTAGGATCTGAAAAAACTGAATAAATAAATAAAAATAAAAAATAAAAAACCTTACCCAAGGCATTAATGTACTTTAAATGTAACATCTGAAACTATCAAAACATAAAATAGCTGAGCCTTTACATCAAATATATCTATCAAGAAATTTGGACAACCCTCCATCCCTAATTATAAGAAAGATTTGTTATAACTACATTAATTATAGGTGACATGGAAAACTGTTATCTATAATTATTATCAGATAATACATCACATGCTCCTAATTGAGTTAGGCTTCATTTGGGACAGCTTTTTTATTGCCATTAAAAACTATTAAAGAGAATAATTTTTTTATAAAATTGTTATAGAAAGTAATTTCCTAGCACAAAAAAATTCTGAAAGTAGTAAAAAAATAATACTCAAACAGAAATTATTATTGAGATCTGAAACAAAATAGTAATAAAACTATCCCAAATGAAGCTTTACTTGTCTTATAACCAAATTCTTATTCTGATTAATCACACAAGAGCGCAACAAGGTAACATAAAGGATTTTTTTTTTTTTTTTTTGAGTAAAATGTACAAAAATAGTGCCACTACTAAAACTGACGGACATGTACATTGCTCATAGCAATTTCTAAAATTTTCACACCTATATCAACTACTCAAATGAGTAAAACTCACCGCCAGACAGCTTTCACTGAAATCTGGATAGAAACATAAATGCAGAAACCAACTTACAGGGTCCAGGAAGGAATAATTTGTCGCAATTTTTACTGTCACGCTCTGCATGCCTGGAATAGGATAAAACATCAAAACATATTTTTAAAAAGATACATGCATTCCTTTTAAAGAATATGCTGGTTTTATCTTTTATGTAGCCTCATGAAGAAAGAAATCAAATGGAACAAATATATTTATGTTCGGCTGAACAAATTATCATGTGTTTTTAGAAAAAAAAAAAAAAACGTCCCACAAATGGGAACAATTGAGAAAATGCCATTGCTAATAGTAATAGATGAATCCGAGAGAACGAGAAGACATCTAGCACATATCCCACAGAAGAATGTTACATCAAAGCCTAGAAAGCTTATTGATTAAACATATAATACACACAAGGGTAACATGTTCAAAGACATTTAATTAATTCACATAGTTTTTGAATGGGACTGTAAATGAACAAAGTCAAGCCAATTATTTGATTCAACCTCGTTCATTTATTTTATTATCGAGTTTAAGCCAAGTATAAAAATAATACAAAATTTAAAATCTTCTTCGAGCTTGTTTATTTATTTATTTATCGAATTTGAAAAGTAATTGAGCCTAATTATTTAATTTTAATGCCAAGGATATAAACATATTTATATACTATGCATAATTGAATATACATATTTTAATCAAAATTTACATAATTAATTAAGTATTATTGAAGTTGTTCGGTTAAAAAGACCCTTTCAAACTTAAGGAAAAATTCTATAAGATGTAGTGAGACCTGCAATGCTTTATGGTGTAGAATGTTGGTCATTAAAAGAGAAGCATAATATTAAGTTAAGTATTGCAGAGATGAGTACGCTCAGGTGGATGAGTGGCTTTACTCTTAGACACAGGATACGAAATGAGCATATACGCGAAAAGGTTGGAGTAGCTTCAGTGGAAGATAAGATTAGAGAGAGTCGCCTTAGATGGTTTGGTCTCATAAAACGGCAGTTTTTCGATGATCTTGTTAGAAAAATAGATGTTTAAGATTTGACATATGTTATGAAAGGTAGAAGTAGACCTAAAAAGACTTAGTTAGAAAATATTAGAAATGACCTTTATTTATTAGATTTAGATAAGAATTTGACTCATAATAAGATACAATTGAAAAAAAAAGATTCATATAGCCGACCCCATATAACGGGATAAAGGCTTTGTTGTTGTTGAAGTTCTTCGGTTAAGTTTATATCATTAGCTATTTATTTGATATTTTCATCTTACCTATACATCTAATACTAAACATAAATTATAGAATGTATAAGAAAATTAATGCAAAAACTTTAATAAGACATTAAATAAACAAATAAGACAACATTACATAAGCAATTTATTGAATTTTTAGCTAGGTACTTCTTAAACAACAAACAAGATATTCATGAACATAAATGAACAATCAAGTCAGTGTTCAAACTTGTTTATTTATATGATGAAGTTTTATTATTTTGATCAAACTTGTTTAATTTTGTAAATAAATGAACATAAAAAATTTTACGTGAGTGAGCATCGAGATCAAATGCACCAATTTGCATACGACCCCATTTTTCACTAGCAAGTAAGTCCCCAAACAACCAAAATCAAGATGGTGATTTTAGCGTAGAGAATACAACAACAATAAGCATTTATCCTAATATATGGAGTCAGCTACATGAATTTTTTTCTCCATTATATCCTATTAGGAGTCAAACTCTCATTTAAATCTAATAAAAAAAATCATTTAGTGTGGAGAACACTACATAAAAAAAAAAGGATAAGTGTGAAACAGGCTGGTCGGCAAGGTTACTGGTAGGGGTTGAGAGAAAGTAAGCCTTGCAACATGTGGGTTAGTTCAAAACATACAAAAGTCAATAAGCTAGACTTTTAATTTTATTTAATTTACCTGGATAATGCAGGTTGGTTGGCCTCCAAGTGCTCAAGTTCCAATGATACTTACTTTTGGGGTAACAAGACCATGTTGAATAAACAGGAAACTAACCTGCAAGCAATTGTTAAGGTAAAAAGCAGAAAATTATAAAGCAACATAATGCATTCCCAAACCCCCACACAATGGGGTTGGGAATGGTCATGGAAAGGAGAAGATAATAGTACCTTCTATTTCAATAAAGGTGCAAACGGAGCTGGACAGGGAGATACGGTGTGATCTGGTAACAGCTCTATCAACTCAATAGTTGCTCTAGTACAAGCATTTAACATTTTCTTTTCCAAACTTACAAGCCTAGCAGCAACTCGCTTCTTTGGGTTCAATTGCCAATCTGCAACCTGGTCATTGTATAAAATGGAATTGGCACATTTCTAATCAGCTGAAACCTCAATTAGTTTCAAACACTAATATTTATTATTACAATGGCTTCATCTTCACTTAATGTTGTTGGATAAGTTGATAGACGAGCCTGAAAATAACCAACTAGTTGGTCCAGAACTGCACGTTCCATACAAGGGCTTACCTGCAATCAAGATGTGAAGTAGCAAATGAATTAGCCCGTAAAAGGAATGATACACTGATCAAGCTTTGAGGGGGTTTTTAATCATTGTTCTTTGTCTCTCTATATATTAAAAGTTCAATAGATTGAAACTTTTGTGCTTGCTTTTGTTAGTAAAGACGTGATATTTCTAATATAAGGTTTTAGAATCCTCACTGTTTTAGGATACCTCGTTGTTTGCAATTGAAAATTTTTGGTAGATACATAGCTATTACGGGAGCATTGTTGATGTTTGACGGTTCTAATTCTAGTTTTGGATTATCGATATACAAAGATCCCACATAAGATATCAAGAAGTAGGAAGCAAACGCTTCAAAGAAAATATTTTTTCCACAAGATATATAGTGATATATATTTTGTAGATGGTCTAAATAAAAATAAAACTGCAACTTCAAAATTTAGTACAGTCTCAGACACCCGGATAATACAAAAATAATCATGCAAGCAAAACCCACAATAATTGAATGAAAAATAAATTGACTAGACTGTGGGTTCAAAAACAAATATCCTAGTTTGTTCGTCGTTTATAACTTTACCTTGGCCCTCACACATCCGGCACGAGTAAGTCAATTCTTCAGAGTAGCATGGTTATAAGTTTGAGTTGCATGTTTATTTACAAACTGATTTTCAAGTATAGATGTTTGGTCAACTTTAGCTTATCGGCTGAACTTTCATCAAATAATTTTGGTTAAAACTAGCCACATGCTTATAAAATGGACTAACACGTAACCAACGTTAGAAAAGTTCTTCCGGGACAAACCCTCGTACTACATAAAAGAAATGAAGCTTATAGACAAGAAAGAAAGCTTCATAAGCTTCTTTTTCCTTACTCATCTACCCTTACACTGATATTGTGAGTCCAATAAACATGAAAATCACCAGCAATATCAAAATCATACCGCTCTAAACACTCTTAGCAGCAATTAAAGAGCAGTGCTACTAAGAACTAGAATATTTAAAATAATCAAAATCAAACCTAGAATATCACGTAAGAAAAGCCTTGTTTGTCAAGATAGTATAGGATCCCTTTGGATTAATATATTTGAAATGTAGAGTTTGTGGAGCTACCATATTTTCAGTCACTAGAAATTCTAATTAGTTTCCTTCTGGGATTCTTCTCAAGTTAATCACAAAAGACGAGGTAAAATGGGATGTAAGATATTCTATTCTTGAATGAATTAAGGATCCATATAAAAGCTGAGTTAAAAGGGATTTAAGATCTTCTCTTCTTGAACGAATTAAGGATGAAAATAAAACAGCTATACCCCACTTTCCCAATAAGTTCATCTTCTTGACTACCACTTGGGTCAGCATTCTACTCTGACAAGAGGTTTAAATAATATTTACTCAACCAAATCAAGTTAAGTTTATCATGAAGATTGCTTTCAAGAAAAAGAGATGTGCTAAAATTAATTCTTCTCAAATCGTAGGTGATAAGCATTATTATAAGCTTATAGGAAAACACATATAAGGAATGGAAGGAGATTGTGTAAAAGAGTGAAACAGAGAGAAAGAGTGTTTGTCTGAGTGTCTAAGAGCATGTTTGTTGAATGTTAAGCAAACGAATGCACATGTGGTATGTATAACCTCATACGCTTATGAGTGTGTGAGACAGGGGACAACTGAGTTTAGGGCTAAAGATTTAACTGAGTGACATCATACAGTTCCCCACATAAAACCATTGAGCTATAAGTGTACCTTCACAACATCCTTGATGATTCCCATAGAAAGAAACGATGATAAAATTACTTGTTTGAATTTAAACGTGGCCCGATGTTTATAGTTTATCTATTTTTACTTGGTCAAACCAAGAATATCACGTTAGAAAAGCCTTGTTTGTCAAGATGGGTCCCTTTGGATTAGTATATTTGAAAGGCAGAGTTTGTGGAGCTACCATATTGGCAGTCTCTTGAAATTTTAATTAGTTTCCTTCTAGGGTTCTTCTCACGCTAATCACAAATGAAAAGGTTAAATGGTATGTAAGATATTCTATTCTTGAACGAATTAAGGATCAATATAAAAGTTGGGTTAAAAGGGATGTAAGATTTTTTATTATTGAAAGAATTAAGGATGAAAATAAAAGCTGCTTTACCCCACTTTCCCATTAAGTTCACCATATTGACCACCACTTGGTCAGCATTCTACTCTGACAAGAGGTTTATATAATATTTACTCAACTAAATCAACTTAAGTTTATCATGAAGGCTTCTTTCAAGAAAAAGAGATACTAAAAATAATTCTTTTTCAAATCGTAGGTGATAAGCATTATTATAAGTTTATATGAAAATGCAGAAAAAATGGAAGAAGATCGGAGTGAAAAAAGTGAAACAAAGAGGAAGTGAGTTTGTCTGAGTGTCTAAGAGCATGTTTATTGAATGTTAAGCAAATGAATGCAGTTTTTGTATGTATAACCTCATGCGCTTATGATTGTGTAAGATAGGGGACAGCTGAGTTTAGGGCTAAAGATTTAACTGAGTCACATCATATAGTTCCCCACGCAAAGCCATTGAGCTATAAGTGTACCTTCCCAACATCCTTGATGATTCCCATAGAAGGAATCGATGATAAAAATTACTTGTTTGCATTAAAATGTGCCCCGTTGTTTATAATTTATCTATTTTTACTTAGTCAAACCAAGAATATCACGTCAGAAAAGCCTTGTTTGTCAAGATGGTATAGGGTCCCTTTGGATTACTATATTTGAAAGGTAGAGTTTGTGGAGCTACCATATTGGCAGTCTCTTGAAATTTTAATTAGTTTCCTTCTGGGTTTCTTCTCACGTTAATCACAAATGAAAAGGTTAAATGGGATGTAAGATATTCTATTCTTGAACCAATTAAGGATCAATATAAAAGTTGGATTAAAAGGGATGTAAGAACTTCTTTTCTTGAAAGAATTAAGGATGAAAATAAAAGCTGCTATACCCGACTTTCCCATTAAGTTCACCATCTTGACCACCACTTGGTGAGCATTCTACTCTGACAAGAGGTTTATATAATATTTACTCAACTAAATCAACTTAAGTTTATGATGATGAAGGTTGCTTTCAAGAAAAAGAGATATACTAAAAATAATTCTTTTTCAAATCGTAGGTGATAAGCATTATTATAAGTTTATATGAAAACACAGAAAGAATGGTAGAAGATCGGCGTGAAAGAGTGAAACAGAGAGAGAAAGTGGGTTTGTCTGAGTGTCTAAGAGCATTTGTGTTGAATGTTAAGCAAATGAATACACGTGTGGTATGCATGCCCTCGTGCACTTACAATTGTGTGAGATAGGGGACAATTGAGTTTAGGGCTAAAGATTTAACCGAGTGGCATCATATAGTTCCCCACGCATAGCCATTGAGCTATAAGTGCACCTTCAGAACATCCTTAATGATTCCCATAAAAAGAAATGAGAGAAAAATTACTTGTTAGAAATTAAACCTGCCCCGATGTTTATAGTTTATTCATTTTTACTAGGTCAATATTTTTTTTTTATTGGCATATTAGCAAAGCAAATCTTAAAGAGGCTTTAAAGAAAATCAAGTGTGAAAAAAGTTTTTTGGACATGATGATATTCTAATAGAGGGGTGAAAATGCTTAGGAGATGAAATTTCTTAATTTACAAATCTTTTCAATGTTATTTTAATGATTAAAAAGATATCAGATGAGTGAAGGAGTGTGTTGATTCCAATTTTCAAGAAAAATAAAGGTGATGCACAAGAGTGTGAGAATTATAGAGGAATTAAGTTAATTTGTCATACTTTAAAACTATGCGAGAGAGTTATTGAGCATAGATTATGACATGATACTAATGTTTCTCAAAATCAATTTGAATTCATGCCAGATAGGTCTTCTATGGAAGTTGTACATTTATTGAGAGTTATGATTGGAGATTTACAAAGAGAATAAGGAGGATCTACATATGATAATTTTTTTATTTAGAGAAAGCATATGATAAAGTTCCAAGAGAGGTGTTTTGGAGAGTTCTAGAAAAGCAAGGAGTTAATAATGCTTATATTTAAGTCATGAAGGATATGTATGCAACAGATGGCAAACACAAGATGGTTTAACTAAGCATTTTCATATTTAGTTGGATTACATCAAGGTTAAACTTTAAGACTATATCCTTTTGCTTTAGTTATGGATGTTCTTACTAAACATTTGCAAGATGATGTACCCTGGTATATGCTTTTTGCTGATGATACCCTTCTTGTTAATAAGACTGGAGAGGAAGTTGAAGGTAAATTTGAATTATGAAGGTCAACTTTAGAGTCTTAAGGTTTTTATTTCAGTGGATCTAAAATAGAATACATGGAGTACAAATTAAGTAGTAATAGATAGAGGAGGGGAATTATAACTTTAGGCGATCAAGTCATTAATAAGAGTACACGTTTTAGATACTTCAGGCCTATTGTTTAGTGTGATGGCAAAATAGATAGGGATATTATTACTAGAATTCAAATTAGATGGCTGAAGTGGAGGAATGCATCGAGCCTATTGTGTGATAGATAAGTACCCATCAAATTTAAAGGAAAATTCTATAAGATGGCAGTGATACCTACAATGCCTTATGATGCAAAATGTTGGTCATTAAAAGAGAATCATAAGATTAAGTGTTGTAGAGTTGAGGATGATTAGATGGATGAGTGATTTTACTTTTAGACACCAAATGCGAAACAAACATATACGTGAAAAGGTTAGAGTAGCTCTAGTGGTAGATATGATTAGAGAAAGTCACCTTAGATGGTTTGGTCGCATAAAGCAACGGTCTTCCAATGACCCGGTTAGAAGAGTAGATGAATTAGATTTGGCTTATGTACAGAAAGGTAGAGGTAGACCTAAAAAAACTTAGTTAAAAATATTAGAAATGAGCTTTATTTATTATATTTAAATGAGAATTTGATTCTAAATATGACACGATGGAGACAAATAATTCATGTAGAAATACAATAACAACAACATCAAGCCTTTATTCAA